GTTGATACATGCCAGCAAAGCCACTACACTACACAAGACAACACTAAACAATACATTAATTGCACTATAACGGTGACAAACGGTGCCCACAAACTGTTAGGGCCTACATTAAGCTGTCCCAACAGCAGAGTTTTCTTTTCAGCACCATGGAGTGAATCCTTACCACTGCTACACCTGGCTGTCAGAATTCAGAACATGGGCCGTTCTTACAGTATTCTCCCTGTACACCAAGTCAGAACTATAGGATAAATAAAGAGGACATATAAGAAGACAATGAAAGCTCTTACAATATTCGAAGATGATATTTCTCTAAAACAGGCTATAGACTACATGTGCACCACCAAGTCAGAACAGTAGGATAGGTTATGAGGGGGAAAGGGACCAAATTATTAGGGTGAGGCACATGGGCTACTAACAGCTTACTATAAAACATACACTTAGTATTTCTTTCTTAGATACAGTATACATATAGTGCATTCGGAATGTATTCAGACCCCTTGATTATCTCCACATTTTGTTATGTTACAGCCTTATTCTAAAATGGATTAAACATTTTTTCCCCCTCATCAATCTACACACAATATGCCATAATGACAAAGCAAAATCAGGTTTTTAGAAATGTTAACAATTTTATTAAAAATACAAAACAGAAATACCTTATTTACATAAGTATTCAGACCCAGAATCGAAATTGAGCTCAGTTGCATCCTGTTTCCATTGATCATCCTTGAAATGTTTCTACAAGTTGAATGGAGTCCACCTGTGGTCAATTCAATTGATTGGACATGATTTGGAAAGGCACACACCTGTCTATATAAGGTCCCACAGTTGACAGTGCATGTTAGAGCAAATACCAAGCAATGAGGTCGAAGGAATTGTCCGTAGACCTCCGAGACAGGATTGTTTTGAGGCAGAGATCAGGGGAAGGGTGCCAAAACAGTTCTTCAGCATTGAAGGTCCCCAGGAATACAGTGGCCTCCATCATTCTTAAATGAAAGAAGTTTGGAACCACCAAGACTCTTCCTAGAGCTGGCCGCCTGGCCAAAGTGAGCAATCGGGGGAGAAGGGCCTTGGTAAGGGAGGTGACCAAGAACCCGATGGTCACTCTGACAGAGCTCCAGAGTTCCTCTGTGGAGATGGGTTAACCTTCCAGAAGGACAAGCATCTGCAGCACTCCACCAATCAGGCCTTTATGGTAGAGTGGCCAGACGGAAGCCACTCCTCAGTGAAAGGCATATGACAGCCCGCTTGGAGTTTGCCAAAAGTCATCTAAAGACTCTCAGACCATGAGAAACATATCTGATGAAACCAAGATTGAACTCTTTGGCCTGAATGCCAAGCATCACATCTGGAGGAAACCTGGCACCATCCCTACGGTGAAGCATGGGAGACTAGTCAGGCTCAAGGGATAGATTAACGGAGCAAAGTACAGAGAGATCCTTGATTAAACCTGCTCCAGAGCTCTCAGGACCTCAGACTGGGGTGAAGGTTCACCTTCCAACAGGACAACGATCCTAAGCACTCAGCCAAGACAACGCAGGAGTGGTTTCGGGACAAGTCTCCGAATGTCCATGAGTGGCCCAGCCAGAGCCCGTACTTGAACCCGATCGAACATCTCTGGAGATACCTGAAAATAGCTGTGCAGTGACGCTCCCCATCCAACCTGACAGAGGAGGCTCTGCAGAGATGAATGGGAAAAACTCTTAAAATACAGGTGTGCCAAGCTTGTAGCATCATACCCAAGAAGACTAAATGACTAAAATGTAAAACTCGAGGCTGTAATCGCTGCCAAAGGTGCTTCAAAAAAGTAATGAGTAAAAGGTCTGAATACTTATGTAAATGTGATATTACATTTATTTAATTTTTGTGCAAAATTTCTAAAAACCTGTTTTTGCTTTGTCATTATGGTGAGGGGGAAAAACTATTTAATCCATTTTAGAATAAGGCTTTAACGTAACAAAGTGTGGAAAAAGTCAAGTGGTCTAAACACTTTCCGAAGGCACTGTAATTACACCCAAAATAATGTTAAAAAACAGAACGCTTCCCACCACTAGATCACATAACTAGACGTGAGCTGGATGTGATCCCAACGCAGCCTCCAATATAGCAGAAGAAAGCTGCAACAGGGACTCTAACCAGGGCTCATACGTGGCAAAGTGAGCTCTAGTAGGCCTCTGGGCAGAGGCAGTAGGCCTACAATGCTGGCATATGCCTTGCTACAATAGCCTCAGTATATAACATGATTGACACGACCGTAATAATCATCATGAAATGGCCTTGGAAGTGTAAGCCAACATCATTATTTTAAATGAACCTGTTTAACTGAATTGATATGGCTTAATTGATCATAGTCCAGACTCATTATAGTTGAAAATACCATTCAGTTGCACCAGGGGAATTTAAATCAAACATATTTGTTTTGCACGTCTTCTGTTTTCCCACATTTATTGATGAATTAATTTCCCATCATGAAAATGCATCCCCATTCCCCAATCAAATCCCTTAATCGATACCACAAAAAAACAAAACAACTACAGTTTTTTACTCCAATCTGGCAACCCTCATAAAATCCGACATAGCACCAGTATCCCAAAGTATTAAGCGAAAACAAGCATAGAAAACAGCAATTGGCATTAATAAAAAAACAAAGAAAAAAACAAGTGTGTTTGGGCAATGGAGACAACCTGGTTGATTAACAATATTGGGTTAACACGTTTAAAAATATATATAAATAAATGTAGTTCACAAAGAAAGGCAGTGTAGAAAACCATTGCCCAAAATGCATTGCGCCAATAACTTTCAAAAGATTGTTCTGAAGTTTGCACCCCAAAAATTTTCTCAAGAATTAAGCCACACAAAAACGCACAAAATCTGCTGAAATACCTTTTGTACGTTTTTGCACGAATTGAGTATGAGATCGTGTTGGATATATGATCACACTAGTAATAGATCCATTGTTGTATTACTTGTGAGGCACAGCTGAGTGAGCATACATTTAAATAATGTGCTTTTTATTTTTATTTTACTGGGCTGATGATGTCTGCATCTGAAACCTACATCTGTGCACACTCAAGCGCACACACAACCATGACAAGACTGAGACACCAGACATGTACTCCAAATTAAAGACAATGACGAAATTGACATAAAACTGGTAAATATACTGAATAAAAATATAAACGCAACAGATGTTGGTCCCGTGTTTCATGAGCTGAAATAAAAGATCGCAGAAATGTTCCATATGCACAAAAAGCTTATTTCTCTCAAATTGTGTGCACAAATTTGTTTGCAACCCTGTTAATGAGCCTTTATCCTTTGCCAAGATAATCCTTCCACCTGACAGGTGTGGCACAAGAAGCTGATTAAACAGCATGATCCTTACACGAGTGCACCTTGTGTTGGGGACAATAAAATGCCACTCTAAAATGTGCAGTTTTGTCACACAACACAATGCCACAGAAGTCTCAAGTTTTGAGGGAGCATGCAATTGGCATGCTGACTGCAGGAATGTCCACCAGAGCTGTTGCCAGATAATTTAAAATGTACATTTCTCTACCATAAGCCCCCTCCAACGTTGTTTTAGAGAATTTGGAAGCACCTCCAACCGGCCTCACAACCGCAGACCACATGTAACCATGCCAGCCCAGGACCTCCAAATCCGGCTTCTTCACCTGTGGGATTGTCTGAGACCAGCCACCCGGACAGCTGATGAAACTGTGGGTTTGCACAACCGAAGAATTTCTGCATAAATGGTCAGAAACCATCTCAGGGAAGCTCATCTGTGTGCTCGTCGTCCTCACGAGGGTCGTAACCAACTTTAGTGGGCAAATGCTCACTTCTGATTGCCACTGGCATACTGGAGAAGTGTGCTCTTCACAGATGAATCCCGGTTTTCAACTGTACCGGGCAGATGGCAGACAGTGTGCATGGCGTCGTGTGGGCGAGCGGTTTAGTGATGTCAACATTGTGAACAGAGTCCCTCAAGGTGGCGGTGGGGTAATGGTACGGGCAGGCATAAGCTACCGACAATGAACACAATTGCATTTTATCAAAGGCAATTTGAATGCACAGAGATACCGTGACGAGATCCTGAGGCCCATTGTCGTGCCATTCATCCACCGCCATCACCTCATGTTTCAGCATGGCCCCATGTCGCAATAATCTGTACACAATTCCTGGAAGCTGAACATTTCTCAGTTCTTCCATGACCTGCATACTCACCAGACATGTCACCCATTGATCATGTTTGGGATGCTCTCGATTGACATGTATGACAGTGTGTTCCAGTTCCTGCCAAAATACAGCAACTTCACACAGCCATTGAAGAGGAGTGGGAAAACATTCCACAGGCCACAATCAACAGCCTGATCAACTCTATGCGAAGGAGAGCAGCACAATGCCCCTTCCTTTTTTTAAAGGTATCTGTGACCAACAGATGCGTATCTGTATTCCCAGTTATGTGAAATCTTTAGATTAGGGCCTAATGAATTTATTTCAATTGACTGATTTCCTTATATGAACTGTAACTCAGTAAATCTTTGAAATTGTTGCATGTTGCGTATATATTTGTATTCAGTGTATAATTATATAAACCACAACTTCATTATCACAGCGCGGTTTGTGAGCTCTCCAAACAACATGCACAGAATGAGAACGGTATGCAGTATTAATATATTGAATAAACAGAAATGACCATAACCAAACATTCTAGATTAATGGGGAAATGGTAATGAATAACGGTAGCCTACATTTACTACTGGTGATACTTTTGATACATTGCAGGGAATTCATAAACATTGACAAACAGAGAGAGCGAGCATGGAGAGAGAAGTGTCTAGCGCTTTGTCGCAACACAGTATTTGAAAACAATGTGATCTCTGGTTAAGATCGATTTTTGACGTCTGTTCGAGTACTCGAGTACTCATACCCATCCGTACTCCCTACTATAAAACTGTGGTGATGTCATTGGTTGTGGCTCTCCACTGCAGCTGCTCCAGACTATCCTGCAGCTGGTAGACACAGCCAGCCAGGTCCATGTAGAGCAGGGCAGAGTACACGTCCTCCAGACTTGCAGTCGGGCCCTGGCTCCACAGCCGCAGCATCTGGTACTGCTTCTCAATAGAGCCCAGGCCTGGCTCCAGCTCCACACGCTCCAGCTGCCGGTCAGGCAGGGAGAGCACGCGTAGGAACTCCTTCCAGCGCCGCAGAGGCACCTCCTTGATGATGGCATACAACACCGTAGCGGGCCAGTGCTCCTCCTGGGTGTCCTGGCGAGGGACTGAGGAAGAGAGGTAAATGGGAGGGAGGGGATGAGGGCCCTTTTCCACAAAGTGTCTCAGAGTCAGAGTGCTGATGTAGGATAAGGGTTCCCGTGTCCATGAAATCATATTTATTATTATCTAAAAGGCTAAACTGATCCTAGATCTGCGTTCCTACTCTGAGAAGCTTTATGAATACGGGCCCAGGATGGTAACAGGTGGAGAGATTCTTGCAAAGTGCTTAAAGGAAAACTCCACCTAAAAACTCAAGTTTTCAAGATATGTAACGTTCAAAATACAGAAATAATCCCTATATGATGCAAAACATTTTGGGACTACAGTGCTATGAAAACCTAACACTGCATTCCACAGTAAGAACATCATACCAAATGTCAAGCATAGTGGTGGTGGTGTGATGGTTTGGAGATGCTTTGCTGCCTCAGGACCTGGACAACTTGCCTTAATAGAAGGAACCATGACTTCTGCTCTGTATCAGAGAATTCTACAGGAGAATGTCAGACCATCAGTCTGTGAGCTGAAGCTGAAGCGCAGCTGGGTCATGCAGCAAGAAAATGATCCAAAACACACAATCAAGTCTACATGAAAATTGCTAAAAAGCAACACATTTGAAGTTTTGGAATGGCCTAGTCAAAGTCCAGACCTAATCCCAATTGAGATATGGTGGCAGGACTTGAAACGAGCAGTTCATGCTTGAAAACCCACACTTCACTGAGTTAAAGCAGTTCTGCATGGAAGAGTGGGCCAAAATTCCTCCACAGCGATGTGAGAGACTGATCAACAACTACAGGAAGCATTTGGTTGGAGTCATTGCAGCTAAAGGTGGCACAACCAGTTATTGCGTGTAAGGGGGCAATTACTTTTTCACACAGGGGAATTGGGTGTTGCATAATTTTGTTGATGAAATAAATGAAATAAATATGTAATTGTTGTGTTATTTGTTCACTTATGTTCCCTTTATGTAATATTAGGTTTTGGTTGAAGATCTGATAACATTCAGTATCACAAATATGCAAAAGTAGAGAAAATTAGAAAGGGGGAAAATACTTTTTCATAGCACTGTATGTCAACAATGGACTAATTAAAGAAATACCAAAAGATAGTTTCTGGGTGGAGTTTTCATTTAAGTGAGCAAAGAAGCAATAGTGGGTTTGGGCAAGATTCAATCAATAATGTAATCAGGTCATTTGTGGGGTATGAGGAAACCTCTGTGCTGTGATAATGCGTTTTATGAGTGAGAAAAGTGTTTTAACTTGTTTTTCAACAGAAACGGCTAAACTTGTCTCGCTTGTGTAAATTATGAGACCTGATAAGTGTGATGCTCATAGTTTATTTCTAACAAGCATTTTTGTATTTTGATTTTAAAGGTATTTGCACACTATGCACAATCCCAGTCCAGTATATTTGTTTTTGTGGGGGAAGCCCTAGTCTGGACCCCAGTCAACTGTTGTAAAGGAAATGACATGCAAGCTGAACTATACCACAAAGGGGCCCCTCAAATGCACCATAACCTTACAACATCACCGCAGGAGAATTCTGAAGTTGACAACCATGAGCAATTTTCACGTAAGCTAGACGTGGTCATACTATTTCACCTCAAAGAGACAGAAACATGGGTTTTTGACTGAAATCTCAAAAAACGTAGCCTTACATTTGAGATTAGAAGATCAAAAACAGGATGGAAAGACTCGGGACAAACCTTTACACGTATCATAATTTGTCACTGAAACTACTGTAACCAACATCACGCTTTGATGCTTGGTGTAGATGCTTCTGTGCATATTTTCAGTGGAACGGATGTTGGAATCAGCGTGTAATTTGCAAGAAGGATAAGGCAACAGCCTTAAATGTTAAAGGCCGAGCAATTGAAGGCTGCTTCTCGCTATTTGATTTGCCAATTCCTCTGAACCTCAGCTTCTTTCTGACACCTACAGATGCATGCACATTTCCACGTGGCTGACCAGAGATTCGTTTTATGCTGACACGCTGAGGTATTTAAGGAAATGCGGTTGTTTTGATTCTGAGTACACAACAGTACAGATTCTACCCACACCAAAGCGACAGGATAGGTATTGCTATGCTGTAGTACACACACTACTCAGAAATGTGCTCGATGGGATGTCTGTCCCATCATATCTCAAGAGTACAGGGACTTTTACTTCTGATATGCGAAACATCTACATTATATAATATACATTTATTATAAATCCAAGCTTATGCACCCAACCTTAAAGTCCTACTCCAGTGCCTTTTCACTTTATTTATCACCTGATTTACTTAACCCTTTACACTCGTACCCGTATACGGGTTGAAAATGGCAGATTTGGCCACTAATAAGCGTCTAAATTGGAACGTAGTGACTGTACAGTAACATGCTATACATGATGTCAGAGCACTGGCTCTGCGCTTCACAGCGCCAAATTGGTTTTCACTGACAGCTGTTCTGATCTTGAGCACCGCACGTGACAAGAAGTTGCCCCCATCCCTGAATTGCCTTGTGAAAGCCTAACACTGTAAGATCATATTTTACGCAAGTCATGTTGGCAATAGAACAAGATTTCAAATCATGCCCACCTGACCCAGATTCCGATTTATAATGGACCGTTTTTCGTCATTGTGTGATGGCGGGGATGCAGGGTTGCGTTCCAAACTAAACAACTACAAGTGTGCTTGCTCTAGTTCGTCAACGACACCTCTAGGAGAGCTAAAGAAAAAAGTACCTTATAGTTCAAGATTCTTCTTTGAGTCATAAAAGTGCATTGAAATTGCTTAGGAACTGTGCACACTTTGGAGAGGTGTGTGGCCACTTGGAGACACCAGTTACTCCTCTCATTCAAACCCTTGTAAGTTTTTGGTCTTATGTTGCACCTACCCCACATTTTCCAGGAATAGTCTTATTTTGTTACTGAATGTATCCAGAGTATTTTTGAATTTCCACTATCGACAAATGCCACGGAAAGTACACTAAATATAAAATGCACATAAAATCAACAGCGTGATGTTTGGATTCAGTCTTGTGTCAGGTTGAACTGTTGTGTACTCACCTTTGGTCTAATAATTTTCACATTATTTCCAAACTGTTCCCTTTCAATTGCTACCATGGTTATGCATATGCTTTTCATATTTCTTCTGTAAGAAACATTTCAATGTAGCCCTATACATATAGGAAAATTCCCACGAGTATAAAGGGTTAACAAAAGGCACTCAATAGGTGGTCCAGGTAGCTTGCTAGAGCAGCTTACATGCAATGTTGCCAAACTAAGGCTGATGGCAAAGCCACACTTGGAGACAGACAAACTACAGGTAACTGCCAAAATAAAGGAAACACGTGAGTAAATGAGGGACACAAAGTATATTGAAAGCATGTGCTTCCACACAGGTGTGGTTCCTGAGTTAATTAAGCAATTAACATTCCATCATGCTTAGGGTCATGTATGAACATGCCCAGTTGCCCACTATTTTGGCTACCATGGCTAGAAGAAGAGATCTCAGTGACTTTGAAAGAGGTCTCAAAGGAGCATAGGGGGTTTTAAGTGTGTGTGTGTGCGTGAGAGTGTATGTGTGTGTGTGAGAGTGTGTGTGTGTGTCTCAGTCACCAGATCTCAACCCAACTGAACACTTATGGGAGATACTGGAGCAGGGCCTTAAACAGCATTTTCCACCACCATCAACAAAGCACCAAATAATGGCATTTCACATGGAAGAATGGTGTCACATCCCTCCACAAGAGTTCCAGACAATAGTAGAATCTAGGTGTTTGTTGGTGTTTCCTTTATTTTGTCAGTTACCTGTACATTGAAGACAGACAAACTACATCAAAGACTTACCTCTGGGCTCTCTGTCTGGCAGCAGGGGTGTGACAAGGGGGTCATACTCAGTCTTGGCAGCACTGTGAGCGAGGGTCATCATAGGAATCCCATCAGTAATGTTCAGCGTCTTGGTAGGGACAGCAGACAGACAAAAATCGTTAGCATCTGTCTGGCTAAGCAGAGCAGCAAAGTGTCCATGCACACATACGGTATAGGTATGGTAACATATCAAAAGAGATGCTGAACTAGATGCTTTCTTACTGGTTTAAAAGCAGACAAAGACTATATATTGAAAAATGGTATGCTGGACATTCCAACTCTAAATGTAATGTAGGTTTCACACCTGCTAGTCAGGACCGGCCTACAGGTGAATAAAATATGTTTTCTCATGTTCTTTATCATTTGTATCATCTGCTTCCTTTTTAACACTTTCGCTGATCATTATCCAAATGTAATGTAAGAAACTGATACTTACCAGTGAAGTTTGGCAGTTTGGCTGATGACGAAGCTGATCTGTTTGAGTTAAAGACATATATCAGAGTTTCCTGCAGCAACTGTTGCAATGAATAACTTGTGTATTCGCACAAGAGCTCTTTAAGATTAAACATGACTAATAATAACAACTGCCAATCAGGGGTGTAGTGGTGCCTGGAGAAGTGGGTATACTCTAATTTTGCCAATTTTTTCCTAACGGCCCACCCGGGGAAGGAAAGGCAGCCTGTGTGAAAACTTCTATGAGAAACAGTGACATACACTCTGAATGACCTGAAATGATAAATCCCACATTGCTCTTTCACAGTCAGACCAACCCAAGCGGTACTGTGCAAGTAGGCTAATAGTAGGTCTACTATTGAAACAGATGAATGAGGCTGTCAACAGAGTCAGAAATTCACAGGTTTGAGATATTTCCCTTTTTTGGGTATACGCCTTACTAATTGATACGGCGTATACCTCCACTACCCTACTTTGATACGTATCGTGGGGATTAAGACGTGAGTATACACAATGCCCACTGAAAAATAAGTGGGTATACGGCGTATACCTGCGTATAAGCCTCCACTACACCACTGCTGCTAATAACATGATTAAAGTTGGAGTGCTAAGAATTACACACATTTTCATGTAAACCAAGTATAACATTCAACACTTCTTTAGTAAAAAAAATAACTAAAAAAATATTTTTGCTTCTATGTATATATCATTTATATCAATATACCACTCTAAGGGATCACGTCTCATTAGGCCATTGGCTACAGAGTTTAATTGACAAGCAAGTCAACTGGGTTACTGACTGCCTGGATATTTTATCATTACCATTGGCTGAGGTGTCCCTTGTAGGCAACTGGAATTCCTTTTCAGGGTTTGCACAACAGCTATGTCCCCTCCATCCACCCTTAGTCAGGACCAGGAGACAGGCCATTAACAGAGTGGTGACCAGGAGAACCAGAAGGACATACATAATGTTGTAGAGGAGGTGAGCTGTCGAGGATACAGACAAGTATAACCATCAATGGCGTTTATTTCATACCACAAAAATAACTGTACTATCTGACTACATTTAAGAGGGATCAGAAGAATGTAGATTAGAGCGCAAAAAGATTCAACTAGAGCAAATTGTTGGCATGGAGTAGAAATTCTACTTACTGGAGAGTATTTTACATCATAGTAAATCGGCAATATGATGCACTAATGCTGTATTATGATTAATGCTATCAATTAACACCTGTAATAGTTACCATTTGAGTTGACTTACACTTATGGTAACTGACATGACAATGTGTTATAATTGTAAAAAGTTTAATGTTTTATACTACTTGGTGCTGCTTGTTGTGTCTCAAGGCTGTCTGACTGTCAACAATACGTGCTATGAAAGGATTATGAAAGCTTATGAAGGCTTCATGAGGTCACTGAAAGAACTAAAAGATCTGTGGAAGCAAAGGTATTGGTGGAACTCACAAGTGTCTATATTTTTGGTGATGGTAGGGTTGGGTGTTGAGTTTGGGAGTTTGGGGGTTGAAGTAGTGGTGCACTCTTTCCTGATATATGAAGACAGAAAAACACATTAAAACCAGAAGGGATTTCCCAGACAACTATATCATATTGACATTCATAACTATTTGTTTCATATGACACCAATATCATTTTTACGTGAACATTTAAAAAATGGACAAAGAGAAAGACAGATGGATCAACTATTTACAAACTGTTAATGAAAGCAAGGTTTGCATACAGATATTTTTTGTATGTTGTGATTTTTTACTGAAATCCGAAGGGTTGAAAATGTATCTTGTATCTGTGATATGTGTGTGTGCCTTTAGAACATTAATGACCAGAAACCCGAGAGTACCTTAGAAACATAGATAGTATGTTCAGGAACTTCAGATCTTATAAATCTTATAAAGCTTCGCTTTGAGAGGAAGTTCTCAACCCACTGGCCTCAATGCATGCCATTACAGGATCTGATTGATCTTTTAGCAGCATCCAACAAATAACTGTGCTTCCTTGGTGTACTTCAACAACAGAACACTTTAATTCTCTAGTAGACTGGATTAAAACTCATGGCTGAGTCATTTCAGGGATATCAAGTCTACATCAAAAGAACTGTGAGTTTTGAGGGGTTTTGCTGAATAGTATGGATGCATCCCAAATTGCAACCTGTTCCCTACATATTGCACTACTTTTGACCAGGGCCTATATCAAATGTTGTGCACTATATAGGGAATATGGTGCTATTTGTGACACAATCAAGGTCTCAATGTGAAACCATGTGAACGTGTCTGAGGTGAATATAAATAAATTCTAGGATGTTCTATGGTCATTGCCAGTGTCAAAATGTTATGGTTTGGTGAGACTGTAAAGTATGTGAGCATTACTCCTTGTTACTACAGAATATTGTATTGTCAGAGCTAAACAAAAAGGGTGGTGCATATGCTCGGTTACTAAATGTATAAATATTGTAGAAGCTGGAATCTGGTGGTCGTACATTTGGCATGGTTGGCATCGCTTCAACTCGTCTTTGTTAAAGCCTGATTTACACACGGAACCTGAGGGGAAAATACAGGGACAATTCTGAGAATAGAGAGTATCATGGACACATTTATCGTGAACACATATATTTGTTCATTCAAAAACATTGTTTATCTTATTCCTTCTGGTTTCGACACTGCTTACATTTTAACATGTTATTTTAAAACATTAATGAATGTCATGGAGAAAACTGAATATGCTCCCGAGTGGCGCAGTGGTCTAAGGCACTGCATCGCAGTGCTAGCTGTGCCACTAGAGATCCTGGTTCGAATCCAGGCTTTGTCGTAGCCGGCTGTGACCGGGAGACCCATGGGGCGGTGCACAATTGGCCCAGGGTAGGGGAGGGAATGGCCGGCAGGGATTTAGCTCAGTTGGTAGAGCATGGCGTTTGCAACGCCAGGGTTGTGGGTTTGATTCCCACGGGGGGCCAGTATGAAAATAAAATAAAAAATAAAAATAAAAACTGTAAGTCACTCTGGATAAGAGCGTCTGCTAAATGACTAAAATGTTAAATGTAAATGTCTTTGGTCAAGGACATGAAAGCAGTGTACATAGAGTAAAACCTGGCCATTTCACGTATGTGTCACTCTTTGAGAGGGGATAAAAATAAAAACACATTCTACACACTGAGTATACAAAACACTAAGAACACTTGCTCTTTCCATGACCAGGTGAATCCAGGTGAAAGCTATGATCCCTTATTGATGTCACTTGTTAAATCCACTTCAATCAATTTAGATGAAGGGGAGGAGATAGGTTAAAGAAGGATTTTTAAGCCTTGAGACAATTGAGACATGGATTATGTATGTGTGTCTTTCAGAGGGTGACTGGGCAAGACAAAATATTTAAGTGCCTTTGAACGGGGTATGGTAGTAGGTGCCAGGTGCACCGGTTTGTGTTAAGAACTGCAACGCTGCTGGGTTTTTCATGCTCAACAGTTTCCCATGTGTATCAAGAATGGTCCACCACCCAAAGGACCTCCTGCCAACTTGACACAACTGTGGGAAGCATTGGAGTCAACATGGGCCAGCATCCCTGTGGAACGCTTTCAACACCTTGTAGAGTCCATGCCCCGTTGACTTGAGGCTGAGGGGGAGATGCAACTCAATATTAGGAAGGTGTTCCTAATGTTTGGTATACTCAGTGTATATACAGTTGAAGTTGGAAGTTTACATACACTTAGGTTGGAGTCATTAAAACTCGTTTTTCAACCACTCCACAAATGTCTTGTTAACAAACTATAGTTTTGGCAAGTCGGTTAGGACATCTACTTTGTGCATGACACAAGCAAATTTTCCAACAATTGTTTACAGACAGATTATTTCACTTATAATTCACTGTATCACAATTCCAGTGGGTCAGAAGTTTACATACACTAAGTTGACTGTGCCTTTAACAGATTGAAACATTCCAGAAAATGATGTCATGGCTTTAGAAGCTTCTGATAGGCTAATTGACATAATTTGAGTCAATTGGAGGTGTATTTCAAGGCCTACCTTCAAACTCAGTGCCTCTTTGCTTGACATCATGGGAAAATAAAAAGAAATCAGCCAAGACCTCTGAAAAACAATTGTAGACCTCCACAAGTCTGGTTCATCCTTGGGAGCAATTTCCAAATGCCTGAAGGTACTACATTCATCTGTACAAACAATAGTATGCAAGTATAAACACCATGGGACCACGCATCCGTCATACCGCTCAGGAAGGAGACGCGTTCTGTCTCCTAGAGATGAATGTATTTTGGTGCGAAAAGTGCAAATCAATCCCAGAACAACAGCAAAGGACCTTGTGAAGATGCTGGAGGAAACAGGTACAAAAGTATCTATATCCACAGTAAAACGAGTCCTATATCGACATAACCTGAAAGGCCGCTCAGCAAGGAAGAAGCCACTGCTCCAAAACCACCATAAAAAAGCCAGACTACGGTTTGCAACTGCACATGGGGACAAAGATCGTACTTTTTGGAGAAATGTCCTCTGGTCTGATGAAAAAACAAATAGAACTGTTTGGCCATAATGACCATCGTTATGTTTGGAGGAAAAAGGGGATGGCTTGCAAGCCGAAGAACACCATCCCAACCGTGAAGCACGGGGGTGGCAGCATCATGCTGTGGGGGTGCTTTGCTGCAGGAGGGACTGGTGCACTTCACAAAATAGATGGCATCATGAGGAAGGAAAATTATGTGAAAATATTGAAGCAACATCTCAAGACATCAGTCAGGAAGTTAAAGCTTGGTCGCAAATGGGTCTTCCAAATGGACAATGACCCCAAGCATACTTCCAACGTTGTGGCAAAATGGCTTAAGGACAACAAAGTCAAGGTATTGGAGTGGCCATCACAAAGCCCTGACCTCAATCCTATAGAAAATCTGTGGGCAAAACTGAAAAAGCGTGTGCGAGCAAGGAGGCGTACAAACCTGACTCAGTTACACCAGCTCTGTCAGGAGGAATGGGCCAAAATTCACCCAACTTATTATGGGAAGCTTGTGGAAGGCTACCCGAAATGTTTGACCCAAGTTAAACAATTTAAAGGCAATGCTACCAAATACTAATTGAGTGTGTGTAAACTTCTGACCCACTGGGAATGTGATGTAAGAAATAAAAGCTGAAATAAATCACTCTCTACTATTATTCTGACATTTCACATTCTTAAAATAAAGTGGTGATCCTAACTGACCTAAGACAGGGAATTTTTACTATGATTAATTGTCAGGAATTGTGAAAAACTGAGATTAAATGTATTTGGCTAAGGTGTATGTAAACCTCCGACTTCAACTGTATATACACTGAGTATACAAAACATTCGGAAAACCCCACCCTCAATTCGTCTGGCATGGACTCTACAAGTTGTCGAAGGCATTCCACAGGGATGCTGGCTCATGTTGACTCCAACCTGTCTCCTCCCCCTCATCTACACCGATTGAAGTGGATTTAACAAGTGACATCAATAAGGGATCATAGCTTTCACCTGGTCAATGTATGTATGTTTTGTTGTCACATACACCAGATAGGTGCAGTGAAATGTGTTGCTTTACAGGGTCAGCCACAGTAGTACAGCATGCCTGGAGCAAACTAGGGTTAAGTGCCTTGCTCAAGGGCACATCAACAGATTGTTTTACCTTGTCGACGTGGGTATTCGAACCAGCAACCTTTCGGTTACTGGCCCAACGCTCTAACCGCAAGGTTACCTGCCACCCTTTTATTGAGGGATTATTGAGGCTGCAGGGAATGCAGCAGGACTGTATCCAGTTTGCACAACATTTTGAATATTATCAGGCCATTAAAGAGTTATACTTACAGAGACTGCAGTTTTTGCATTTGGAGCATGATTCACAGAGCAAGAACTTTTTGAATTTATTTTGATAGAATCCCTCCTTGCAGCCACATTCAGTGTCACTATTGGGCTCACAACCTTTCTTCTCCTCTTGAGATGCTAGGATGCAAAGACACAGCGAAGACACTGTCTCAGTCTCACTCCCATCACATAAACACAAACTGGGGGAAAAATATACACTACACGCATGCACGCACGCACGCACACACACACACACACAGACAAACACACGTGTATGAACAATCATTGCAGCACTCATTATTACACTGCAGTCCAGAAATGGTCACGTGAATAGGAGTGAAGAATGCATACCTCCTATATCACATCTTTTACAGGGAATACATTCTGACAGTTCATTTGGTATCGCTGTGAATGACTGGCCGATACATTTTCTGCATTTGGAGGTATTCGTATCTTTGTGAAAGCCTGAAAGACATGTTGAAATACAGTACAATGTATATGTATCTTCACCAGAGTTGCACAAACATTGTTTTATAGGCACTGTAATTTAATGCCTAAAACTATCCACTGTTTAACATCAAGATTGTAAACATAGTTACAGCAAAATACAATATGCTGTAGTTTGGAACTACCGAGCCCCACTTCTGTTCATGCTCAAATTCTAATTGTGTTACTCAGTGTTGCTTACCTGCTGGACATTTGTTGCAGCTACTTTCAGGGTCCTTTTTTAGCTCCTCTTTGCAACTCTGTGTAGGGTCAAAACAGGCTAGCGTAAACACCTGGCAGACAAAGGCGAGACAGAGGTTTGTTATTGATGGTGGCACATGTTAGTGGCGCTTACCGTTATACTCATATTCCTTTACATAAATGTGTATATTTTGAAATTACCTCACTAATACTCTCATTTCATCATCAGATATTTTTTTCAAGATCTGATGTCAAACCTCCAAACATGTAGTATACTTTGATCATTGGGAACACTTCATAAGTGGCCAGTCAGAATGATTACATTGTAATTGTAACAGTGTAAAAACACTGTCAAGGAAATATTGCCTTCCACGTCACTGCCTTGCTAACACTAACGACAACTATTATCACTAAACATGAAATGGTAAACATTTTAAGCATCATCATTTATGAAAGAATTGTCTGTCATTACATAAATAATCTGCTAGGATCTCACCTTACATATCGGTTATGATGGCGTTATATAAGCATTATGACAGGCCAATAACAATTATTCAATTCATCCAAAATAATGTACAGCAAAATTACTTTTTTCCAAATTAATGTATAGGAATTTTTAAGAACAAAACTACAATATATAAAAAACAAGATTTTGATCATTCCAATAATACTTACTAACACACAGAACCACATTTTGAAAATAATTGAAATGATAAAGTGTAGGCAGTCGTTTTCTTCTCTCATTTGAAATAAATGAATGTTCTTATCTCAATCATAAAACATAACTTAAATATTAAAAATACTGTGACGTCCAAAAAATACAAAGGGAATCAACACAAAATGTTTGCGGCATTGTAGCTCGCCATTTGCCAATTTCCTAGAAAAAATTCAAGCTAAAACGTTAAGCTGGCTCTTGATACTCTGTGATGAGTTAGAAGTAGGTCAAAGGAAGTCTATAGTGTCAGCTCTTTCAAGACTTCGGAGAACTGGTGGCAGGAAACCCTGTCAGATAAAATGCATGTTTCCATTGGTGGTACAACCATACGTAAGCAAGCAGTTCTACGTAATTTTGTAAAGCTGCCGCTTACTGTATATTCGGAAAATACTTGGAAAAAATTCATACTTATCCACAATAGTCTGCTATGTGATGACACATTGTAACATAATTTGTATGAATGTAATGACCCTTGCCTAGGTAGACTTGTTGCCTAGTTAGGCTAAGTGGGAAACCCAGGTCTGAGACCTGAAAGGGGGAGTTTCAAATGTGAGGCCATTGGAGAGGCTTGTACACATGAGAGACTTGGGATAGTCTCTCATGAGTACAATCTCTCCCACGTGGGTTAACCCTATTTGAGCAATGGTTAGCGAGTGTGCCTACGGGTTAGGAGATCCAGGTTCAAGACCCGCAAGTGAAGTTCCCCGTCACAGTTTCCTATGCCATCCCACTTCTGACACCAGCGTAGCAAACAGCGATAGTGCAACTCCCATTGCGGATGTCCCAGCCTGTGAGTCAAGCCAGCCAAGATTCATGGGTCAATTCTCCACTGATAAACTTGCATATTACAGGGATAATGTGTGGAATACTAGACTAAAGTGCTTCATTATTCTAGTATCCCCAGGAAGGCCGTCTTCACCGCCCTTGGACTGTATGCTATCCAACATTTTAATGATGAAACAATTATATAATAAACAATAGTCCCTAGGCTATAGTTACTAGCGGAATAGATAGTATAGAAAAAGTGCCTGGAGTGGGGACAGGTCACCAGGTCAGTGGGGGCCTGTTTGGTGCTCCAGAGAGGACCAATAAGGGTGCGGCAGGAGTGAGGCCCAAACAGGGTGGCCTCTAGTGGGGAAGAGGTCACCAGGTCAGTAGGGGCCTGTTTGGAGCTGTTTGAACCAATAAGGGTGGCAGGAGTTAATTGGTGATAATAGTTGTCGTTAGTGTTAGCAAGGCAGTGACGTAGAAGGCAATATTTCCATGACAGTGTTTTTACACTGTTACAATTAAAATGTAGGCATTCTGACTGGCCACTTATGGAGTGTTCCCAATGATCAAAGTATCCTACATGTTTGGAGGTTTGACATCTGATCTTTAAAAAAATATTTGATGATGAAATCAGAGTATTAGTGAGGTAATTTCAAAATATACACATTTATGTAAAGGGATATGAGTATAACGGTAAGCGCCACTAACATGTGCCACCATCAATAACAAACCTCTGCCTCGCCTTTGTCTGCCAGGTGTTTACGCTAGCCTGTCTTGACCCTACACAGAGTTGCACAGAGGAGGTGCTAAAAAATGACCCTGAAAGTAGCTGCAACAAATGTCCAGCGGAGGGGGTTTATCATTGTGGCCCAGGTGGCACAAAATAATCAAAGGTCTGACCGCACGGAGATGCTTGGGAAAATGGTTACAACAGGGGATCAGAGTGTTTGTGTCTCAGGTGAAGAGGGTGGATCTGATCTCCATCACCTAGGACTTGACATAGATTAAGTAGATTAATCAAATCTCACATTGTTATCAATTTCTGCTCAATCTGCATGCTTTCTCAATCAGCTTTAACTGTATGTGCACTCGTAAATCAGGTTATTTCTCAAGTTGGGCCTTGGGATATAACAGCCGTTGAGTATCTGATTTTATGGTGGATTGTGGAGGAGGGGTTTGAGTGTGTTGGAGTATGTGAGTATGTGCGTGTGTGCTTGTCTGGCATCTGTTGTGAGGGGGTGGGGATGTTGGGGGGGCGGGGGGGGGGGGGGGGGGGGGGGGGGGAATGGGATGGACCACGGGAATTATTTGCTAGGATAATAATTGCCTGTCAATGAATTAATTGTAATACAATGGCAATCCGGGTTATATGTTAGAATCCTACGCGTGAACTGCCAACATTATTACGCATATTAATTGATAATGATGGAAAATAGGATATGCATAATTTAAAAAAAATAGTTATATAGATATATATTTATAGAGGTGAAAGCATTGGAAATGCTTTTGCCGGTTAATCTGCTTCTGTTTTGTGGGTGGCACTGTGTGCTGTTTTCGATGGATGGGTCCTGGCCTCTCGGGGCCTTAGGGATCCGGAGGGACGTGGGTGGGATGCTGATCACTGGGATGACGGCTCAACTTGGGATGGGGAGGGGCTTTAGCGGGAGAGTTAGTGGAGAACAATTGAAGGGTTACTCCGTAGCAATGCAAATATCACGGAACAGCTATATGGACACTCAATCATTACGGTATTTTTTATTGGTAAAATTACAAACATATATAATGATAAATAGACTTGAAACTTGTATCTCATTATGATGTATGGTGAAATAAGTATAGCCAGTTATAATTGTAATGGCTTAGCTGATAATAACAAAATAAGAACAATATTTACATGGCTCAAAGAGAAGGAATATAATATCTATTGTATACAGGAAACTCATTCAACAATTCGAGATGAAGTAGCGTGGAAAAAAGAATGGGGGGGGGGGGGGGGAATATACTTCTCCCATGGGCAAAGAAATTCAAAAGGGGTGATGATATTAATGAATAGTAATTTAATTAATAAAAATTAATTAAAAGTAAGAGAAAGTAAGGAACTTGTCTGTCGGCCTTGCATTAAAGAACATAATTGGTTAAGGAAAACTGTGATAAATAAAAAAGTATATCAGTTTCACTTAAGGACCAAAGGATTGACAGCCGTCCCATATAGATTGCAAAATAGTTGGGAAGAGATTTTTGACGTACCGATCCCATGGCATAGTGTTTATGAACTGACACGCAAAACGACACCGGATTCAAAAATTAGAATCTTTCAATTTAAATTATTATATAAAATTCTTGCTACCAATAGAATGTTATTTATATGGGGGATACAATCTTCCCAGTTCTGCAGATTTTGCTCTGAAGAGACAGAATCATTAGATCATTTGTTTTGGTTCTGTCCATTTGTAGCTTGTTTTTGGACACAGGTCCAGGAATGGCTAAAGGATTGAAATATTTACCTGGAGCTAACCTTGCAGATAGCATTACTGGGTGATCTGAAAAGTCATAGTCAATCGATCAATAATATAATAATACTTTTAGCAAAAATGTTTATTTTTAATTCACAATCTGTAGAAGCAATGAGAACAGAAAGGTTCAGAACTTTTGTAAAACATCACAGTACGGTTGAAATATATATGGCAAATAGAAATCCTATATGGATGGTGTTAAGAGATAGATGGGAGGTATTGAATAGAGTTGAATGATGGGACTAATAACAAATAACAACAAATAATAACAAAGATAGAGAAACAAAAAGAAACAAATACCTCCAAATGCAGAATATGTATCGGCCAGTCATTCACAGCGATACCAAATGAACGGTCAGATTGTCTTCCCTGTAAAATATGTGATATAGGAGGTACGCATTCTTCACTCCTATTCACGTGACCATTTCTGGACTGCAGTGTAATAATGCACTGAGTGCTGCAATGATTGTTCATACGTATGCGTGTAAGAAGAAATAGTATACAGTGAGGGAAAAAGGTATTTGATCCCCTGCTGATTTTGTACATTTGCCCACTGACAAATAAATGAAAAGTCTATAATTGTAATGGTAGGTTTAGTTGAACAGTGAGAGACAGAATAACAACAACAACAAAATCCAGAAAAACGCATGTCAAAAATGTTATAAATTGATTTGCATTTTAATGAGGGAAATAAGTATTTGACCCCCTCTCAATCAGAAAGATTTCTGGCTCCCAGGTGTCTTTTATACAGGTAACAAGCTGAGATTAGGAGCACACTCTTAAAGGGAGTGCTCCTAATCTCAGCTTGTTACCTGTATAAAAGACACCTGTACACAGAAGCAATAAATCAATCAGATTCCAAACTCTCCACCATGGCCAAGACCAAAGAGCTCTCCAAGGATGTCAGGGACAAGATTGTAGGCTGGAATGGGCTGCAAGACCATCGCCAAGCAGCTTGGTGAGAAGGTGACAACAGTCGGTGTGATTATTCGCAAATGGAAGAAACATAAAAGAACTGTCAATCTCCTTCGGCCTGGGGCTTCATGCAAGATCTCACCTCGTGGAGTTGCAATGATCATGAGAACGGTGAGGAATCAGCCCAGAACTACACGGGAGGATCTTGTCAATGATCTCAAGGCAGCTGGGACCATAGTCACCAAGAAAACAATTGGTAACACACTATGCCGTGAAGGACTGAAATCCTGCAGCGCCTGCAAGGTCCCCCTGCTCAAGAAAGCACATATACAGGGCCGTCTGAAGTGAGGAGGAATGCTGCCTATGACCTCAAGAACACCATCCCCACCGTCAAACATGGAGGTGGAAACATTATGCTTTCGGGGTGTTTTTCTGCTAAGGGGACAGGACAACTTCACCGCATCAAAGGGACGATGGACGGGGCCATGTACCGTCAAATCTTGGGTGAGAACCTTCTTCCCTCAGCCAGGGCATTGAAAATGGGTCGTGGATGGGTATTCCAGCATGACAATGACCCAAAACACACGGCCAAGGCAACAAAGGAGTGGCTCAAGAAGTAGCACATTAAGGTCCTGGAGTGGCCTAGCCAGTCTCCAGACCTTAATCCCATAGAAAATCTGCGGAGGGAGCTGAAGGTTCGAGTTGCCAAACGTCAGCCTCAAAACCTTAATGACTTGGAGAAGGTCTGCAAAGAGGAGTGGAACAAAATCCCTCCTGAGATGTGTGAAAACCTGGTGGCCAACTACAAGAAATGTCTGACCTCTGTGATTGCCAACAAGGGTTTTGCCACCAAGTACTAAGTAATGTTTTGCAGAGGGGTCAAATACTTATTTCCCTCATTAAAATGCAAATCAATTTATAACATTTTTGACATGCGTTTTTCTGGATTTTTTTGTTGTTATTCTGTCTCTCACTGTTCAAATAAACCTACCATTAAAAGTATGTCTTTGTCAGTGGGCAAACATACAAAATCAGCAGGGGATCAAATACTTTTTTCCCTCACTGTATATTCTTCCCCTTGGGAGTTTGTGTTTATGTGATGGGAGTGAGACTGAGATCTCCTAGCATCTCAAGAGGAGAAGAAAGGTTGTGAGCAAAGAGCTGGCTGGACTGAATGGCGGCCGCAAATTGGTCCCCTCTCCCTGAGTCGGCCCCAGCCCTCCCTGGTTCTTCCCCTTGGGAGTTTGTGTTTATGTGATGGGAGTGAGACTGAGATCTCCTAGCATCTCAAGAGGAGAAGAAAGGTTGTGAGCAAAGAGCTGGCTGGACTGAATGGTGGCCGCAAATTGGTCCCCTCTCCCTGAGTCGGCCCCAGCCCTCCCTGGTCCTCTCCCCCATTTCCCTGGGGCAGGGAGCTGGCAGACTGGAGTGGCGCCACCTGGAACCCTGGCCCTCTGGACCTCTTTCATTCAATTCAACAAAGTGCGGGAATAACTATGACCCTCTTTAGATAGCCAAATGGTGACACACTGCTCTGAAACGGCCAGTGGAGCGAATATGGACTCATTCATACAAGTCATACAGGGTGAAAGTAATTGAAGTTAAGGAAGTATTTGTCATGTACATACAATTAACATTGATCAAAAATTGACAAAGTCAAAAAGCCCAAAAGTAGTTGTGGTGGATTCGAGGGAAGAGGTCCCTCAACCAATAACAGTTGGTTGTATTCATATGAAAGTCATATTGGGTTGAAGCTAAGTTTTATGGAAGTATTTGTCATATAAAGTCAACAGAAATTCATAAACAATAGCCAAAGTAAAAAAAAAAAAATGCAATTGCTGTAGCTTGTACAGACAGTTAGTTTTATTCATATGGGGTGAAAGCTATTGATGTTTAAAGGAAGCGTTTTTAATTTAAAGTCCATTCAATATCATAGAAAATAGCCAAAGTGAAAAGAAAATGTATTTGCCGTAGATTGTACAGTCAAGGTCCCTGAAATAATAAAAGTTGGTTTTATTCATGAAAGTCCTTAGGGGTAGAAGCTATTTAAGTTTTAAGCAAATATTTTTTTTACGTATAATAAAATTACATTCATTGAAAATAGCCAAAGTGAAAAAAGAAAAATACAGAAGTAATTGCCATAGATTGTACAGACATAACAGTTGGTAGTATTCATGAAAGTCCTATGGGGTGGAAGCTATTGACGTTTTTTGGAAGTATTTATCTGTAAAGGGAATTAAAATAAATTGATCAAGTAAAAAAAAAAGCTAAACAAATTGACCTGGATTCGAGAGACGAGGTCGATGAACAATGTCCAATCGATTTGGGAGCAATATGTAATGTGTTTGAGAAGCTACATTGAAAGTGTTTTATTAACATGCCAAAGTAGGCGTTGCAGTTTTAAGACAGTCCCTTAACCCCTCAGCTAAGAAGAGCAATGTTTCAGCTGCATTTGAACTCCAAAAACAAAATACGACACCGAATTTCAAAAACAAGGGGTGTAACTTGTTCAGCTGATTCAGAATATGTCATTTATATCAATCTTGCACGCTCCGTTTAAGAGGTATTAACGAGTAAATTCCGAATCTTTAATATAAATCTTAAGTACACCGCACTGTCTCTTTTAGTAATGTCGCAAGTGACACAGGCGCGTTTGGATTCCTGGACATGATCAATGCTTTTGTCAGTGCGTTGTTGTTTTGCATTATAGCCACGCTAAAAACTATTGTTGTTGTTGGATTCAGATAAAAAAAATACCAGCCTTCAGTCAGTTTGCAGCATCAGCAGCAGCAGCTACCATGTAGCAGTACCCAGAAGTGAACAAAGCAACCCGGAAGCGCTGAACCAATTGGAGGCAGGCAGAAAGAACATCAACATTTTATAGAGCAAGACAAAATCTGCAATCGTGACATCAGGTCTGTGTGCAATTATTTTATGTTATTTGTAAATGGGTATTTCTGGAAGTCGATAAACCGCAAATGTATGCATTGTACAGATATATATGCATTGCCCCTCGGTTCGTCAAAAAAAGTTGCAATGTTGAATGCATTTTGGTTAAGATTGGCATAACGTATTTTAGAATATCTGTCAGCGTGCTGTTGTGACCTTTACGCATCGATGATGTTGATTTATTAAAATATTTAGGTGCAAAGCTCGAGAATCGTACATATTTCCGTGTTATTTTGCAAGGCATGGTTGTTGTAGGAAGTGTCCGTTTTTTTAAGAGGTGGGGAGGCCGGGCTATTCAAACCTGCAAATTGTCGTAAACAAACATTCATGTTTTGACATAAACACACCTTTGTGTTAGGCGGTCTCCTTTTAGGAGCAAAAGAAGATGGTCCTAATATTGGGGTCTGCAGAATATGGCGTCCCGCCTTATAAAAATGAGTCAGGCTGCCATTTTTGTTTCTCTTTTGTCTGGAATTTTTTAAATAAAACTGTCTGAGAATGTCTGAGTGGTATCGGATCGGATGGTCACATCGCCAAATTATGTCACTGAATTCCAGAAAGGTCGAAGGGCACACGTGTAAGCCTAACAAAAGTCTAGACTTCCAAAGGAAACATGTTATGAGGGAAAAGTCGCCCAAAATACCCTACATAACTCATATTTTACTGGAAAATAATTTTGGTAAGAAATAATTAATACAACGATGACATTTAGCCTATTCTGATTTCAGACCAAAAATGTGAGTTCAGCCATCTTTAGGCAAATTAAATAAACATTTGGGAGTGGGATAAAGAATATTGAGGGTAGGCCTATCGAAAATGACTGACAGGTGTGAACAGTGAAAGTTTTGATCTTTGACTGCATTCTTGTCATGTCTTGTATGATAGGCCTTTATTTTACTATGTACTTTGAACTGAACATAATAGATTTTTATACCAAAATACTAGCCATAATTATGAAAATGTATTATTGTGACTGAATACCACAATATAATTATTATATTCTATTAATACTTTATTATTGGCATGTCATATTTAGTAGAAGGATTACTTTTATATAATATAAAAATGGAATAACTTTAGTTATCACATAAAATACACACAACAACAGGCAAATTCACACATAGTCACAACAATTAATTTCCATAGCCATATGGTACAAAACTGCTCTTTTGGTGTTGAGAGGTGGACCCGAGTCTGCTTCCTATTCATTTTATTGTACTTTTTTCACTCTACTACTGTACTTTACTCCGATTTTAAGAAACAATGTTTCTTAATGTTCAGGTAGGCATCCCTACTTCAGAAATCAAAGGAAAATATGAGACATGCTCAAAAACAAAGAGTTACAGGAATCCCAAAGTAGATGGACAGATAAACTGACACTGTTTTAATCTAAGTAGTTTTAATAACATCCCTCAACTCCCAATACATTGAAAATGCTTTGTATATTTGTAATTGGAAATTGATAGAATACTGCAGTAAAATGTGTGTTTCTGTCTCAGGATGGCTGAGCCTCGATTCAACAACCCCTACTTCTGGCCTCCGCCTCCTTCCATGCCTGGCCAGGTAAGGACATCTTCCTTTTTTCTGTCCTTCCATCTAGGCTGACATTATGCATATGCATCTCATTGTTTTCTCAGAAGTGTTTCAATCTAAGAATGTCCATATAGGTAAACTTCCATGAGTATAAGAGCTAAACAACAAAAGTAGGCAACAAAAGTAGGACTATAATGGGATTATCTTTAGCTTGATGGTTGATACACTGGAGCTGTTTTCTGTTGAGCATGACCGGTTAACCCTTTCAGCTGGATAACCTGGTACTCATCAACAAGATCAAGGAGCAGCTGATGGCTGAGAAGATCCGACCCCTGCACCTGCCAACCAATTCAGCCCCTTCCCAGCAAACCCTGCTGGTGGCCTCCTCCCCCTTGGACGGGGGGCAGCACAGCATGCTCATGCCCAAGCCCCAGCAGGGCCAGCATCACCCCCAGGGCTCGGTCCAGCAGCCCGACATCGCCCTGCATGCCCGCCCAGCCTCCAGCTCTGTACCAGGTAGGTACTGTAACAGTGTTTGCGGTCTGCTGTCTGCTCACCACATGGGTGCACACTGGAGATACCACTTGGCTCTGGTGATGCTCGAGACCTGTTCAATGGTGCGTCTCAATTGTCTGAAGTGGCTTCCCTTCCGCATCTCCTCTGCATTGATTTCCGAACGCATAGATGAAAGTCATATGGTAGATGCCTACCAGTCCAGTTTTTAATCATTCCCATTGTATTATAGAGCATTGTAAGATTTCAGGATGGATGTTGAGTAGAAATTGGTGCTATTTATAAAGTGATTTTCTCATTTGTCCCTCAGTTAGATCAGTTAATTTTATTACCTTCAATCTCGATGATGCAGACGTGAATATGGATGACAAGTCAGCAGTGAAGGCCAAAGGACTGTGGGATGAGTGGCACATGCGACAGATCGTAGAGCAGCCCTCTAGAGTCAACCATCGGTCAGGTAATAACCACACCCCCTTTCTCATGGGAAACATACATGTACAATCATCAATTAAAACATTCAACAGCAGTGTAGTACACGGCAAAGGATGAGACAAGAGCCCAAAAATATTTCAGTGTAACACGGTCCCTTATTAGTTTGCGTAAAAGCTCAGTCTTTCAGCAAGCTAAATCGCTAACTTTTTGCATGGCTTATCATTTGTAAGTCTTCATGTGCCCATACACAGGTCTGGCCCCTATGTCCCGGCCGGACGGCCACAGCATTTCGGAAGCCCTCACCCCCACCACCCCCACCTCCAGCAGCCAGAACCGACTGGGAGGGACCCCATCGGTCAACATCATCTCTGGGCTGGCCAGCAGCCCTGGCATGGAACAGATAAAGAGCGGGGGCCTGGCCGGACTCCTCGGCCCACCACCCAAGACTCCCCGTGGGCGGAAGAAGATCAAAGCGGAGAGTGGAGGGCCTCTGCTGGTGGTGCCCTACCCCATCATGGCCTCTGGTGCCGACCAGGGCTGTATCACCTTCCCTGCTAAAGAGGGCAAAACCTACAGGTATGGTTACTTCAACAACAAACAAAAAAGTTTTAGTTTCGCTTAGTTTAATGTCTTATCTCTTAAATAATCACCCATTTCAATGGTTTTTGACCTACTTGAGATATGTAGTTAAGTTATATGCACATATCAGTAACACTTTACTTTAAGGGGGTACATACAGTACATAAGGCATTCAGTCATGACACCTTATTAAGTGCCTTATTGAGTGTTGCAGTATCATTCATAAAACAACCTTCGTTCGTGACAAAAGATTTGACCCTGTCCCATTTGTATGTATCCCTCCACCCAGATGCAAAGTGTGTCCGCTCACCTTCATGTCAAAGTCAGAGATGCAGATCCACTCCAAGTCCCACACGGAGGCCAAGCCTCACAAGTGTCCCCACTGCTCCAAGTCCTTTGCCAACGCATCCTACCTGGCCCAGCACCTCCGCATCCACCTGGGCATCAAGCCCTACCACTGCTCCTACTGCGAGAACTCCTTCCGCCAGCTCTCGCACCTGCAACAGCACACCAGGTCAGTTGAGTTCACCTTCATGGAATAGAAAGGGATGGAGGGAAAGAAGTCGTCCACCACAATCCACACCATTTGAAAATGTGTCTGTTGCTTCATAATGACATTGACAACATAAAAAATATATTTTAAACCGGAGCATTCCATTGATGTATTGCTGGAATGTACAGTAGCTTTCCATCAGTGACACTGCCATTGGGTAGTAATATGAAATGTATGATACAGTGAATGTATCCATTATTTTATAACTGTCATAAATACAGTATGTTTACACCATATTCTTTTACATGTTATTTTGTAATTACATTATATTTTCTGCTGTAATTGCTCAATAAACCGTAATATTTCAGTTCATTCTCTCTAACATGAATCTATCGTCCTCTGTATGTGTCTTAGAATCCACACTGGTGACAGACCCTATAAATGTGCGGCCCCTGGATGTGAAAAGGCCTTTACCCAGCTCTCTAACCTCCAGGTCAGTACTAGCTACATCATAACAGGAATAATAATCCTTTACAGTCCATCTCCCAGTCCTGAATGGCACCGAGCCGATTGATAATGTTAAGGCCGAGGCTGTGGATCTGTTGGTAACCACCCTGTCCTGCCCCCCTGGATCCCTTTCCCCCAGAGCTTGAAGATCTTTACCTCTACTTGATGCACACATTTTTGTGACCGTGAATGATAAATTCTGTTTTACCGCTGAAATGTCCATGCAGCATCTGCATACCAACCATTTGATCTTAATCAGTTTCATGGGGATATGAATTTAGATCTTCTTGAGTTATACAGTGTTGTTTCGAAGTAGCCTACAAGGCTGTTTTGAATAATTTACAGTGAGCGAATTTTAGAGCAGACGGTGTTAACAAACTGTAGCATAGCCTACCTGTGTTTAGTTTCAATCGAAGCACATATTTTGCCTAGTGGCGCACACTGTTGAGTTTGGGCTACATGAGAAAAATGTGACCATTAGCACAATCATCCTAAAAAAAGAAATTAGGTTGTGTTTTTTGGCTTACAGTAATGTTATACTATGCTATTATATTCGGTTCTGTTATTAAGCAATAAGGCACAAGAGGCAGTGCTGTATCATGAATACAGTCACAGGTAAATGCCATTGTTCAGCCCAACGCGATACAGCACTGCCTCTCGTGCCTTATTTGCTTTGATAAAACTGTTACCAACATCTTAAAATAACAAGGTATTACATATTTTAATTAAAACTTTATTTTGATAAGTCAATTCATACAATTTCATTCTTCCACCAGAAGATATAGTCCGGACAAAAGTCTGGTTATTTTGGGCATGTTGCTACAGATGCGACCCAGGTATTAATTATTTTTGCATAGTTGCTATGCCTAGGCAAAAGGACTGGTCGTCCATTCTAAACAAAATGGTTGCTATGCAAGCTGGATACATAACGTTCTTGTCACTTGCTAGCTAGCTAGCTAGCTAGCCAACTTCAGCTAACTCAGTCACGTCAAACATTGAACCTGGAATGACAGTACACTAGCTGCATTTTTGTTTGTTGTAGCTTTTTCTCTATTTGCATTTACTTGGATGTCCATGATAATGACATTGATGAGTGAATACGACTGGCTCAGAAAAAGTTGTCTTGTGTCGCTTGGGCACCGTTCACTCTAGGTATGGTACTACAGAGATCAAAATTCTAAAGTGAAACTTTCTTTCCGCGGTCGGACAGGCAGACAGCGAGGCTTATATTAACCCCCACTGTAACTAAATACTAGGCTGGAAGCAAGGGTAAATAATGTGCGAGTTGAGATAAATACAAGAGATGATTCGGACAGCAGCATGAACATGATATTCTTATGGAGGCGTAGTCATACTTTTCAGAAGGAACTGTTAGCAGGCATAGCTGTGTCTGTGACGGCCAATATAGCACGGCTTGGAACGCCGCTTGTCCAATCAGCATCCAGGATCCAAACAACCAGTTTATAATGTAGAATACTATCATTATGTGATCTTCCAGACATTGATTCAGCTTTGATCTAACTTTATTAAACGAGCACCATTCGCCAGAGTAGCCTGTTCTCTATGAGTAGAGAGTAGAGCAGAGACTGCGTAAAGTAGGGAATCCCGCACAAATGCTTAGAAGCTCCGGGACCTTTAGCTGTCGGGAAGAGGGGTCCAGAAAAGTTGGGATCCGCAGTCACTTCGTAATGTTAAAGGTGCTACATGTAACAATTCAACCTGAAATTAGCCCTAAATGGCAATGGTATACTGCAGAATTAAAGGAATAAGATTCCAGGAGAGAAGAATATAGGTATTTTTAAGCCGTATTATTCAAAAAGAATGTATAACAAGAGACCTAAATTGGATATCATTGCTGAACATGTCGAGCAACATTGTCAACTCAACCATACAATACCTTTTCTGGGATGCTCTGAATGATAGTTATCCTGCAATGAGTGACTGGGTTGCTCTTACCTCTTCTCTCTCGCTCTATGTAGTCCCACCAGAGGCAGCACAACAAGGACAAGCCGTACAAATGTCCCAACTGCTACCGTGCCTACTCAGATTCAGCATCGTTACAGATCCACCTGTCTGCGCACGCCATCAAAAATGCTAAGGCGTACTGCTGCAGTATGTGTGGCCGGGCATACACCTCAGTGAGTATCCTATCCCACTATTCAGTATTAGGTGTTAGTAGTAGTAGTAGTAGTAGTGTCAGCAAATACAAGGCATTACTATGGTCCTGGTCAATTATAGTGTCTGTGAACATTTGCTCAAGCTGGACATTATGATAATTAAGCACGATTATGCTCACCACATGTAGAAATAATCTACAGTGGTCAAAGAAGATTGAATATTAACTGAATCAGTTTCAGTTGCTTCCTGACTTTTACAAAAACCTGCATGCACGAGTCATGACTGCATTTTGGAAGCAGGGTTGCCAACCTGTTCCTGTGTTTACGCTTTTGTGTCGGGAAAACAAACCGGTTTTGATCGTCCATTTTGTGTCTTTGCAGGAGACCTACCTTATGAAGCACATGTCCAAACACACAGTAGTGGAGCACCTAGTGAGCCACCAGTCCCCTCAGAGGACAGAGTCCCCCAGTATCCCAATACGCATCTCCCTCATCTGAGTTCAGCATTACTGTATGTTGTTGTATTATTTTTCTATATAAGGCTGAAGTTTAGGGGCCCTGCACATAAGGCCATCGACACAAGGCCTACATATGCATCACATGACACCTGACATTAATTTACAAACCTTTGTTCCATTTTTACACAGATTGGGTCGGTTTAAATGAAAACGAGCATAGCGCATTCTTTGGAAAGGTTTATGTCAATGGGGAAAAAATGTCGGATCATGTCTGGTGTCGGATACAACTGAGCGTTATGCAAACGGTCTAATGCATTGGCTCTTAACATTAATGTTACGGAACAATTATTCCATTAAATGGGTTTCTAAAATGTCAGTCAATATTTTCCCTTATACCGAAACTAAATGGATTAATATTTTCTGGGTGTGTTCTGGCGACATCCAAAGATAATCTTAAAGCACTTTCAGGCCTTGTGGTTTTGGATCCAAATGGTTTTCTATCTTTTCCGATGGAAATTCAAAAAGATTGCTTGAGGCAGCTAAGAGTATTGACTGTGTCTAATCAAAAGTCTGATCTTTTTTTTATTTTAAGCAAAGTTTACAGGGTCAGACATTAAAATCAGCATTTTAGCGAAAAGCAATTGGAACTATGTGGACAACTCGATTGTAAGGTTGTTTCTCTTGGAGGAATGGTGAAACAAAGTGCACCAAAATGTTAAAAAAATTCATGAATGTTTACTGTTTCGTCAAGATCAGTTCAATTGTTATGGTTAATGGAATCAAGATCATATGGGTTATATGATCAGACACTAATTAAATCAACAGAACTTCTCACCTATGTGAGCCTAGTCAAGATTCATTGGGAAAGCAAGCTAACATTAGCTAGTGCGCAAGCTTTTTGGCTTTACTTGGCACTGCCCTCAATAAGCCTACACAAAGCTGTCAAGATAAGCATTACAAATGTTATAAACAGTCATGTCAACTTTTGTCAAGTAACTTCCGATGGTAATCATAACACAAGCTGTTGTTAGCAAAGGTGCTAGTAAAGGAGAGGAATGCTTTGTGTCATGATAGTTCTAAGTCACAACAGCTGATGTTGACAAGTTGGTAATGTGGTTAGGTCTATGTTACTAGAGTAGAACATGACACATTTCTATTCTGAATATATTTAGAGAAAATATAGTAAACATACATTTATTGGAGGTGAAATGTTTTGTATTTTTATTGACTTCTATGTTGTTATACTCTCACTGGTGTCACATTACACTTCACAATCATATCACCAAGTCAAGTTAAAGCTATTTCCCAGCCTGGTTACAGAGGCCTGTGCTGCTTTATTGAAAAAAGTCAATAACATAGTTTAAACATGACATTGATATTTGAAAGTGCACATTTGGACCAAATAGTTAGCCAATATTAACCCTAATCCCACTACATTCAGGATAGTTTTATCTTGATTTGTGAAACTAATTCTCAACAGGTTTACATTTTAATGTGCAGTCAGTATGAGTTTGTTCAAACCATATAACTTCATATGTTTCTTTCATCATGGTATACACACAGTATTGTTGTATTTTTACTGTAATTTTACCTTCTGGTTGCTCTGGATGGTACTAGTAGCCTGTATTCTTCAGGTTACTCAGGACACGGTGCTAAGGCTAGATGTTTATTTGAGATGGAACTGAGAATATTGTTAAATACATTTATAGTATGTTTTAAAAAAAATACAATTCAAGCCACTGGCCTGGAAATAAACATTTATGGCAACAACAGACCCTGCCACTTCAATTTACTCTCTTCCGAGAATAAAATTGGGCAATGTACATGTTGCTGTACTGTAAAACATTATCATTTTTCATAACTGTTTTGGGTTAGGGTTTTGTACAGGTATGTTTATGTATGAACTTACTGTAATGATTTGTCTTTCTGAATATTGATACTTTTTATTAATATTCATGTTTTATATCAGTTATTTACATATAAGCCTTAACAATTTTATCATTGAACTACCATTTTATTTCCATATTCTGTATTGTGTTCCTCAGTATTGGGTCTTGTAAACATTTTTATTTTTCCCGATGAAATATCCAAACTCTAATCTGTATATGAATTAACTGTTAACCCATATTCTCTATGAAAAGATAGTGTCGATTTATTACACCTTTTCTTGTCTTGCTTTGTGATTTAATATAAAGTTTCTAGACAAGACTGAGAAGTAAAACTAAGAATATCAATGTTGAATAAAAAACGACCTTTACCTTGTTTAATAAACAGACTGTTATAAACACACTTAAAATTGTACTGCATAACTTTGATGAATAATTTAAAACCAAACAACAATTTGGTATTCTCCATTCAATATTTATCAACAATATGATTGTTTGACCTTTTCTTCCAAGATATGCCCTGGGGTTTATTCACTAGTAGGAACCAAAAAGAAGCAAACAGCTAAAACGGGGAGTGACTAATCTGAACACCCCCTTTTGTTGACAAAACATTTCCCATTGCCAAATGTTTTGCTACTGTTTGGCACTTATAATTATACCCCAGGTGCGCTAAAACTAAACAATGGAATCAGATACACATGGGAACATTCAATTACCTCTATTTATGAAAATACACGTTTTTACCTAAAAAGTCACAGGTTATTATTCACTCAACATTTCAAAAAAATTGTCTCAGATTAATATGATTGTACGTAGTATGCATTATTTGTAGATTGTTATTCACTCTCAGCTTAGCAGCAGGACAGAGCATTACACTTTATCATTACAGGCATGTTGAAGACATGGATACCATATTATCACACCATATTATTTGATGGACATTTCTTGCTTCATCAATCTCTAAAGGCTAAAGTGAATGCTTGTATGTTGTCAGTGATTGAATAAAGGTTCAAATTCTAATTTTATAGAACATTGCTAAATTAAGTAATCCCTTTGTGGTTAAAAGGATTCTACTAAAACATCTGAGTCATCACCACCCTAAATCTGTAGCGAAAAACTAATGTGATCAAATGCTGTATATACATTGAAAATGGTATTTTCCAAGCCTACCAAGCAGTCACTAACCTCTACAAGATATTGTCACTCCCACAAAAGTGGCATAAAACAATAAGCAGTTCTCTCTTTTTAACGGTACTGTACCTAAAAAATCCTGACCTTTTTAACGGGCATGCAAGTGGTTCCCATTCAACGCAAAACCAACTATTTTAAGGCTTACCATTACAAAAAGAGATGCACAGTACTGCATTGCCCACTATATAAAACAGTATTTTAGTTTAGAACGTAATATGACCAAAGTTATAGTATAGCCTACACCAGAGTACAGGCTTGAGAATCCAGAATATAGTGGTTTGGGTGATAATTGAAGGACTGCTAATAACGGCCATTTGAAAGTCAGCATTCTGTTCCTTAGCATTTAGCCTACTACACACATACACGGAGTATACCAAACATTAGGAACACCCTTTTGCCCTCCAAAACAGCCTCAATTTGTCAGGGCATGGACTCTACAAGGTGTTGAAAGCGTTCCACAGGGATACTGGCACATGTTGACTCCATTGCTTCCCACAGTTGTGTTAAGTTGGCTGGATGTCCTTTGGGTGGTGGACAATTCACATGGGAAACTGTTGAGCATGAAAAACCCAGCAGCGTTGGAGTTCTTGACATGAACTGGTGCGCCTGGCTAGGACTGTGGCGGTCATGACATTTTGTCAGCCTGTTATTGTCATGCAAAAGTCTGACTACTCTCACGGTAATTGAACGTTAATTAACATAAACATGTTTAGCATCTCCAAACCTCCACGCATACAAGCCAATGATGCACGCCTTTGGAACATCTACATAAAAAAAAATATATAATATATCTATTTAATATACACCATCACAATAAATCCATTATTTATTTTAGGCAGGTCTAAAGAAACATGATATGAAGAAAATGTATTTCAGAAGAACAGAATACGAGTTGGCCTACCGTATGTTATCTGGCTATGTGCCATGCCAAAGGCTGTATGCTTGTTCATTTAGCAGACAAGATATGCTTATAAGTCCTGTGCCATTATTTTATATTATATGATTTTATAGTAAGAAGAATATAATTGAACTTTGCTGAATAAAATAAAAAGGATATTTTTCCCATTATGGAGCGAGTATGTGCGCATAAGAAGTGTTGAGCATAAAAGTGACACTAGATTTAGAATTATTTGGCAACTTTAGTTGTGAGTGATACAAACCTTAGAATGTCTTAGAAATCAAAAGATATATCGGCTGCATGATGCGACTATAGGCTATTGATGATTTGAGAAAGTAGAAAAAAAAGCTTGTGCTCTGTTCCTTGCCTCAGGCTGCACAGCTGTTCTCTCATCATGTGATCATCTTTTCACCCATCAGACTATTCTCAATTTAATCTTGTCTTTACTAATATGTAACATTTGTTTCGATTTAGAATGGTCCATTATCAAATGGGCAAGAACAGGGGCAAGACAAAAAAAGACATGTCATGTTATTCCGTATGCACTGGAATAATACAATAAAATGTTATTGGTCACATACACATATTTAGCAGACGTTATTGCGGGTGTAGCGGAATGCTTGTGTTCCTAGCTCCAACAGTGCAGTAGTATCTAACAATTCACAACAGTACACACATCTAAAAGTAAAAGAATGGAATTAAAAAATATGAATATTAGGATGAGCAATGTGGGAGTGGCATTGACTAGAAAACAGTATATACAGTGGGGGAAAAAAGTATTTAGTCAGCCATCAATTGTGCAAGTTCTCCCACTTAAAAAGATGAGAGAGGCCTGTAATTTTCATCATAGGTACACGTCAACTATGACAGACAAAATGATAATTTTTTTTCCAGAAAATCACATTGTAGGATTTTTTATGAATTTATTTGCAAATTATGGTGGAAAATAAGTATTTGGTCAATAACAAAAGTTTCTCAATACTTTGTTATATACCCTTTGTTGGCAATGACACAGGTCAAACGTTTTCTGTAAGTCTTCACAAGGTTTTCACACACTGTTGCTGGTATTTTGGCCCATTCCTCCATGCAGATCTCCTCTAGAGCAGTGATGTTTTGGGGCTGTCGCTGGGCCACATGGACTTTCAACTCCCTCCAAAGATTTTCTATGGGGTTGAGATCTGGAGACTGGCTAGGCCACTCCAGGACCTTGAAATGCTTCTTACGAAGCCACTCCTTTGTTGCCCGGGTGGTGTGTTTGGGATCATTGTCATGCTGAAAGACCCAGCCACGTTTCATCTTCAATGCCCTTGCTGATGGAAGGAGGTTTTCACTCAAAATCTCACGATACATGGCCCCATTCATTCTTTCCTTTACACGGATCAGTCGTCCTGGTCCCTTTGCAGAAAAACAGCCCCAAAGCATGATGTTTCCACCCCCATGCTTCACAGTAGGTATGGTGCTCTTTGGATGCAACTCAGCATTCTTTGTCCTCCAAACACGAC